CCATTTCTGGTGAGGTTCTGCGCTTTGTGGGCTCCCTTTTCTTTTCCTGCCTTTTAACTTCCCTACTCGATTTTCTTTATCACTCATCCAGAATTTGTCTTGGCGTCTAGTTCTTTTACCTCGCGGTTACATGTTGGAGTGAATCAGTGGAAACAAAGTCCTGACTTGGAAACAGAAAGAATCAATTTCTTGGTAAACTACATTTATGGTCCTTTTAGTTTTGGTCTATCTTATTTTAATCATTAATTTTGAAAAAAATTGCATTTTCATATAATATATATATTCTACAAATTTTCATATAAATATTTTTACATTAATATTGAGAATTCAACTTGTTAAAAAGAAAACATATTACATTGATAATTTGATAAAATATGAATTTTAACAATCATATATATTATCGATTAAACATTAATATCTTACATTCATATCAATCAAATATTCTCAATTGTCAAATAATATTATATTTCAATAATTTTATTTTCTAAACCTAGTCTTACGTCCTATGAACCAAAACGCCTTGAGTTTTTTTTCCCTTCATCTTGAACCAAAATTGCTTTCACTTTCTCGTCAGAAGTCAAAATGCTTCAACCACCCCTCAAACATCATCTACCAATTAAAAGCAAAACATGTTCTACTATTTTGGACAAAAACAAATACTCTACAGTTATTGTAGCAGCTGTCTGAAACCAAATTTTCCATCAAGCTAATAACTCTACAGCAAGAACCAGTGATGCCAGAAATGCATGAACAGCAGCAGAAACAACATACAGACATGTCCAGAAGTTATCGGAATATAAAATGATCTGTGACAACATCAACCAGTTCAGACGGAGATGAACTTAAGAAAAGCAGAAATCCATATAAGATGAGTAATAACATATGAAATAGTTAAGAGTAAAATGTAGCCAAACAAAGAACACCATACTCACTTCCATCAATGTGCAATCAGATTCATAGAAAAGCTTATATAGTTTCTTCACTTGCACAATATAGCCATTTCTATCAGCAACCTTTGGAGCCAAACCAGCCACAACCTTGGCAGCATCTTCATCCATATTTCTTTTGAAAACATCAATAGGTACCTATCAGAAATGAGTCCGTAATTCCTAAAATTTAAGTATAATATGCTCTGAAACCAGAATTGGACCAAAAAGTTAGTGAATACTGTTTGGACTTCATATCGGCTGCAAACCGAGTAATTGATCTTCTTGATGCCTGAAATACACAATTGTTCTTCTGCAAATCGATTAGTGAAATTTGTAATGGAAAAGCCATGCAACTTTTCTTGAGCCATGTTACGGATCATTTCAAATATGTTGTATTGGATTTGGGCCAATTGTAATGGGTGAAGGGTCAAGGATATGTTTCGGTTGGATATTTGGGCAGTGGTTAACGGGTTAATGAATTTTGGGTTAGTGTTAAGTTCTTTGATAGATGGGCTAGTAGTGGGTTTTGTAATGGATTGTGTGCTGAACGGGTTTTGTAATAGATTGTGTGCTGAACGGGTTTTGTAATGGATTGTATGCTGAACGGGTTTTGGCCATTTGTATTCGGCCTTCGGCTTATATTGTGAATTAATTTGATGATAATGGATTTTAATTGTGTATGCGACACATGAAAACATAAAAAGAAAAAACATGTATAAATATTTATATAATTATTATCGATCATCAGTTGGACTAGTGAAACGTGGTATTAGATATTTTAAATAAGGTCAGAGACTTGAATCATATCGTTTGTGTATGGAGCAAATTGGGTTAGGAGGATCACCTCACATAAAACCTCTGTAGTACCGGATCAAGATTAATAGATTAGATATTGATCGTTATACCAAAAAATATTTATTTAATCATTTTTATATAATTAATTATAATTAAATTAATATAATTACTAAACCAAACTATATAGATATATATATTTAAATATTAAAATTAATTAACACCAACCAAGTGAGAAGAGATTGTTGTTGTCCCTTGATATTCCAAGTTTGAACATTGCATATACAGAGGTGCAAACGTTTATTATCAAATAATTGAGAGTTTTTGGACAGTCTTTAGACAAATAAACTACAATAAATAAAGATATACTTTTTTTAACATCTCAATATCTTGAATCATAATCATTCATTTCTATTTTTTCTTCTCTAATATTATTTTTGTATTTCAAACATTTCTTAACATAGTATCTTCATATAAAAGGATTATATATTTAAATAAAATAAATTTCTCTTTAAAACTAAATCTCAAAGATGGGTGACCCAGTTTGTGTATATTATTTGAAAGCTATGTTTATGATGAGTGCAATTAATGGCACAAAATTAATTCTTTAACAAAGGAAGTCTTGAGGGTGAAATACAATAATGGATGTACTTCGAAACCCATTGCTCTTGTTGCTTGGTTATCTCTTCGAAATGGTCTTCTAAAACTGAACAAGGATGATGCAAGTCAAGGAAATCCTGGTATTGCAGGAGCGGGTGGTCTCTTGAGAAACGAAACAGGTGAGTGGATCCTTGGTTTTGCTTCGCATTTGGGATTTTGTTTGAGTATGGCAGGGGAACTCTACGCCATTAGAACGGGACTGTCCATTGCGTGGAAGTATGCTTATGACAATATCGTGTGTGAAGTTGATGCTAAGCTAGTCCTTTCAACTCCTTAATTCTGACGACGCCTCCTTACATCCATTGGGTGTCATTATTGAGGATATTCAGAACTTGAAAGCTTGCAATTGGAAGTTATCTTTCCATCATACATATCATAAAGATAATTTTTATGTTGATGCGCTCTCTAAGATGGGATGTAATGGCGAGGTGGACTTGATTATCTTCGATTATCCACCTTTGGAGGTTGTCTCACTCTTAGAAGCAGATGCAAGGGGTGTATCTTTCACTCGAAGCTTCTCTTTGCAGCAAGTTAATGATGTAATTTACCAATAAAAAGTGTCATAAGATAAAGGTCCGCTAATTTTTTAACGGTGAGGTATAAAAATAAAATAAAATGTAAACATTAGGTATTATTTTAAAATAAATAAAAATTATATAGTAAAACAAAATAAAACTAATAGTTTAAGTACTAAATATGAAATTTACCCTTTTTCACAAGAAACATATTCGTCGTAGCCAGAGAATGGAATGGGGGCCAGCCATAGTCTCATAAGAGCCAAACCTTGAAAGCTGGTCAGTTTGCCTTTTTGCTAAAGCCGGTCAATTTTAACCAAAGAAAAAGGAAGCTTATAGGTTCTCCCGTACTGTAGCTTAATATACAGTAAAAAAATAGTATTAGAAATGTTATTATTTTTTAATATTTTTAATAAAATATTACTTAAAATATTATTTTTTAGTGGTAATATTAATTTTACTATTTAAAAATCGATAGAAAAAATAACATTTAAGGTATCGTCTAATATTAACATTTTTTATAAAAAAAATAATGTTTTAAGTAGCGCCTAATATTAACATTTTCGATAAAAAAATTATGTTTTAGGTAACGTTTTATCGGAAATGTTAAAAAAATAATAATATTTCTAGTAGTGTCTTTCTTTAACCGTATATTTACGCTAACATATCCGAGACATCCAAAGCTTCTGGTCAAGCACTATTGCGCACCTTCTTTTTGTTCGAATTAGAATTTTACCACACACAAAAAAAAACAAATTACAATTAGTTATAATCAATACATATTTAAAATATAATTATAACATTTATATAATATAATAATAATTAATCATCATAATACATAAACAAATTAATAATCAAAATATGTAAAATAAAATGACATTCAAAGAATATAAACTTTTACCAACACATCGCTAGCAGAATTTCACTCAATTTTTATTGAGGACAATAACTAACAAATTTAAAAAATATTAGGAGTCAGATACTATACATAATTATTAATGATAGATTTAAAAATATTTTTTAAAGTGAATACGCATATATTAATAATATAATTTTTTTAATGAGGTAAGAACAAATAAAATGATCATTATTATTAGATGTGAGTGTTCGATCGAGTCGAGTAAAAAAATTTGAGTTGAGAAGTCATATTTTATAACTCGGAGTTAATTTGAATTTTTTTTTAGTCAAGTCTAGTTTTCGAGTTTCTGTTTAATTTTAATTGTAAATATTTATAATATTATGATATTATTTGATTCAAATTTAAATAGTCTTTTATAATCATATACAATACATATATATATTTCTTTATATTTTTTATTTGTGATATATATATATATATATATATATATTATTTAGAGTCGAAAGACATGACTCAAACATAAAAATCAATTAAATAATTACTAAAAAAATTTGAGTTATTCTAGTTGCATTTTGTAACTCGATTTGAACTTGAAATTTTTTCAAGTCAAGTTTATGAAATTACAACTCAAGATTAATTCGAATCGATTTTTTTTTCAAGTTGAGTCGTATAAAAAAGATCGATTTTTCGAGTCGAGTTTTACTTAACTTTATTTATTATTTTTTAAAATTTAAATTAAATAAAAGTAGTGGCACTACGTACTAGATGAACGTTCAAAACTAGTAATTTTTACTTTTATTTTTACTTCCATAATTTCTGCAGTGTCCACCCAAAAACATTTAAATTCAAATTTAAAATACTGGACTTTGGCCCAACTCAGAGGACGAAGAGGATTTAATTTGCTTGAACCTTTTCTCACAAGATTATAGTAAACTGAAAATACGTGCATGTCAATTTACTTTTAATTTTTTTAATAATTATTTATATTTAATTTATTAATTAATTTAGATCGGATATTATAAACTTTTAATAGACGATCATTCTAATATAATTTATTTCATTCATAAACCCTAGAATTTTAGTCCCAAGTTTATTTAAACAAACTGGTTGTATGATCAATTGACTTGAAATGAGCGTAAACTGAAAATACAAGAAAGCATCTAGGAAATTTCCAGTTTATTATTTATTCGGAAGTAACATCAAAATGTACATACACGTCGCATGCTATTCTAGTCAGTACCCAAAAGGAAAACTGTTGAGCAAAAGCTAAGGCTACTTACAGCACCAGAGAAGGAAAACGATGATGCCCAAATGAGTTGTCTCGACTTCTGAAAAAAATGGAAACAACCTCACATCTGTAGAAGACGAGCGAGTTGACTCGGGTTTACGATGCCAGGTATATGGGCTCCATCGGTCTTGAGCAAGCTCGCCACTTCCACGTACCTTCGATGATTCTCCTCCCTCGGCTTCGGCTCCACATCCTCCGCTCTGGATCTCTTGCCTGCCTTGGCGTCTTCTCCGGTTCCCCTCCCGGAATCAGTTTGTTGCGGTCGGGCTGGGTCAAACGGTTGGCCAAACAGTGTTTCACGAGTGAGGAACTCGTGGGCCAGGTATCCGGCCAGGAGCTGGTTGGAGAGAACCGGATGAGCGGTTTTCTCAGAACCGGGTGATTTTGTGGGTGGATGACGGTTTATGTGTTTGAGGTCAAAATCGTCTCTCTCTTTTCGCTTGACGTTGGTGGGCATGGAAACACGACGGGGCGGGAGACGCATCGTTTTGGTGTTCATTATTGCGCCCTTTTAGGTGCATCCACGTTAGCACCAATCCTCCACAAAGCAAAGCACAAATTTCTATATTAAAGAGAAATTGTAAATTGGGGGGACCAGACCACCCCTTTCTCACTCTTTCTGATAAAAGGAAATATTTGGGGGTAAGAAAAAGAAACGTTAAAGAGTTCAACAAAGTAAAAACAGTAAAAAGTAAAAAACAAAAACAAAAACAGGGCAAAAAAATAAAAAGAAAGAAATAGAATCTGAGAGCGATTTATTTATGAAAATGAGAGGAGGAGGAGAGAGGGAGAACGATAAAAGATAGAGAGAATTGAAGAGAAGCTGAAAATGAAAACAAGGTGGGTTCTATGTATTTATAGATAAGGTATTTATAATTAACCCCTATCCCTTCAGGAAATTACGGGAATTGCCATAGGAGGGTCAAATTACGAAACTGCTCTTTTCTCTATTTTGTGATTTATTTATTTTTGTTGTCTCATTCCCTTTTTGGCGAATTAGATGGTTACCATGGAATAAGTTACCAATTAGCGAAAAAAATAAAAATTAAAAAATCATGGCAAAGATTGAAGATTCTTGTTTACCCGCAAAGCATAAGATGATGCGGCATTTTCCCAAATCTTTTCATTGATGTCAATTAATAATTATAAATTTGTAATATTATTTTGCTAATCGTTGAACAATTCGAAAATATATAAATAATAATTAAAAAGTCCACCGTCAATTGTCGACATAAGAAATTAATATCGTATATCAAACTCGGAGATAAATTTTTTGATCAAGTTTGATCTATGAATCAATCCTAAAATAAATGTAATTTCTAAGAGAGAGAGAAAGTATAAAAATAGAGAAGAAATGAGTAATATGACGATGGATAAGCATATAAGTAAGGATCACTCTCTTATTAGCGACTCTTTATGTTATTCTGCTAATTGTTGAACAATTTAAATATATATTATACATAGGAGGTTCATCATCAACCATCGACATAATGGATAAATACATCCTTGAAATAAAAATTTTGATTGGACTCAACCTACGAAACGATATTAGAATATATGCAAGTTTCAAGAAAAAAGAAATATAAACAGAGAAGAAATGAGTAAAATCATAATAAACAAATATATAAGTTATGACCCCTTCCCTTCTTAGCATATATTCATTCAAATTAGGAAGAAGTAAAACTCATTGTATCTTCGTCTTTGTCCTATTCTTATGCAGTAGATACCCGTTTTGTTCGGATTATAACCATTTTATTATTATTATTATTATTATTATTATTATTATTATTATTATTATTATTATTATTATTATTATGTTACAAGCACTTGATAGGGCCCAATTACAAAAGGCCCATCGACCCTAAAATCCCACCAAGGCCTAAGATAGCAAGCCCAAGTGTTTTGAAACCCTAGTTGTCGCCGTCGCTCACACCAAGAGTCACTCATGTCGTCGTCGCCTTCTTCGTTTGCTTCGGTCATGCCAATCTAGTCAACAACCAACATCAGCAAATCTGGCAAAACAATGAACAAATAAAACAAAATTGCCAGAAAATTCACCAACTAAACCTAATCTGGAAAACCCATTAAAAAGGGATTAAATATGAAAATCTTGGATGATTAATGCTGGAGTTGGAGCAATCATCATCCCTCTGTTGTGCTTCCATATACCACCAAATCCATCACCAAATCAGCAGGTAGTAGGGAGGATAAAAGAGCAAGGAGGGGTTCGAAAAGGGGGAGAAAAAAGATAACCCTTTTTTTCTAAAAGAATGAATAACTTTTAAAAAATAGAGAAAGAAAAATAGAGAAAAAATAAAATAGAGAAATTCAAAAGGAAAAAATAGAGTAGATTTACCTTGCTTTGTTGATTTTTGGGAAGCCGATAGGTCACCGAAAATCTCAAACGTCGTCGGAATCCACTTTTTGGGAAGGTGAAATCCTAGATCTAGGCTTGTGAGGTTGGTTTTAGTTAAAAATAACCTAGGATTTGAGTTTAGAAGAGAGAAAAAAGATATTTTGGGTTTATTTTATTTTGGGGTTTTTTTTACTTTCCGACCACCGTCGGCGATGATGACCGATGATCTCCTATGTAAGAGAAGAGGGAGTTGAGAGAATATAAACTCTCTCTCTCGTTTGAAGTTTGGAATGGTATAATGGGGGAATGACTTGGTTTTGGCCATGTAGTATGGGTCTATATCAAACCCAAAACTATGTCGTTTCATGCCCTCATCACTGTGTTTTTTGTGTTTTAGAGGTAAATTTCAGTTTTGGTCACTCGTCCATTGTATCCTTATGTTTTAGTCCTAAACGAAATGGGTTATTATTGATTCTGAACCTTAAACATTTTCATATATATGTGTTAGTCATTATATGTGATCAGGATTGTCAGTTGGGGTGAACTGGTGGTGATTTTCGTGCCCAATATTTGACTGAATCATAAGGCAGACGACAAGAGATGGTTCTCATTTGAAGATAAAAATATACCGAAAGTTGCATCAATGCATACATGTTAGGCATTAATAGGATCATGACAATCACAAAATGCATGATGATGATAAATGTAATTGAATACTTATAGGTTTTCCAAAAGAAAGTTGAAGGTTGAAGATGCTAAAACCCCAAGATAAAAGTTACCAATTCAAAGTCCCAAAAAGGGAGAGGTTCAAATAACACTCAAGTCGATGCATATTCTCATATTTGGTGGCTGCGAGACAAGTTTCCACAAGAGAAATCGATTTTCAAATATTCTCTTGAATTCCAAACCTTCAGATATGATGTTTTCAAATTCTCAAAACATATACTAACAAGTGGTAATGTTTAATTTTTAGATTCAATCTTCCCTGAAGAGCAGTGGAGCGAATAAAAGTTTTTGGATCCAATATACCTTGAAACACAGCGGAGCAGATCTCTTTTCTCAGATTTTATCTTTCTTGAAAAGCAGTGAAGCAAATCAAACATGATTCACCCTGAAGAATAGTGGAGTGAATCAAAGTTTTCGGATCTGATATACCCTGAAACGCAGCGAAGAAGATCCATTTTCTCAAATTTGACATTCCCTGAAGAGCAGTGTAGCAAATCAAACCCAATTCAACATTCCCTGAAGAGCAGTGGAGTGAATCAACGTTTTTAGATATGATCTACCTTTAAGAACAACATAGCAGATCCCTTTTTCATATTTGATCTTCTCTGAGGAGAAGTGGAACAAATCTATCTCAATTTAATCTTCCCTAAAGAGCATTAGAGTAAATCAATGTTTCCAGATTTGATATACCCTGAAGAACAGTGAAACAAATCTCTTTTCAAATTTGATCTTCAAAAATCTCTCTTGAGATATTGTTCATTTCCAGTCTCACTTGAGATGATGTCAAATTTCAAAGTATAGATACAACCAGACAAAAGCTCATTGTCTCTTCGTCTTTGCCCTATTCTTGTTAACATAAAAATGAGCAAAGAGGGGATGATGTAGACACTTGTTTTGTCTGAGTTATAACATTTTTATTTTATCATTATTATTATTATTATTACTATTTATTTTTTACAGGTTACAACCAATTGATTGAGCCCAATTACAAAAGGCCCATTGGCCCTAAAATCCTACCAAGACCCAAGATATCAAGCCCAAGTGTTTTAAAACCCTATCTATCACTACTGCTCACACCAAGAGCCACTCTCGCCACCACCGTTTGCTCTGGTCTATTCAATCTAGTCAACAACCAACATCAACAAATCTGGCAAAATAGTAAACAAATAAAACAAAATTGCCAGAAAATCTACCAACTAAACCTAATTTGAAAAACCCATTAAAAAATGGGATTAAATCCCAAAAATCTAGGATGATTAATGCTGGAGTTGGAGCAATCATCATCTCTCTATCGTAGCTTTCTTGTGACACCAAATCCATCACCAAATCAGTAGGCAATAGGGAGAATAAGAGAGTAAAAAGGGATTCAAAAAGGGGGAGAAAATAGAACCCTATTTTCTAGAAAAATTAAGAGATTTAAAAAAAGAAAGAAAAAAAGGAAAAAAATAAAAAGGAGAAATTTGAAAGGAAAAAAGAGTAGATTTACCTTGCTTTGTTGATATTTGGGAAGTTGATAGGTTGCCAAAAATCCCAAACGTCATTGGAATGCACGTTTTTGCAAAGGTAAAATCATAGATCTAGGTTTTGAGGTTGGTTTTAGTTAAAAATAACCTAGGATTTGGGTTTATAAGAAAAAAGGGATATTTTGGGTTTGTTTCAGACTTTTCGACCATCGTCGACGGTGGCTACCAGCGGTGGCAATGACTGGTGATCTCTCATGTAAGAGAAGAGAGAGTTGAGAGAATATATATAACATCCTGAAATCCAAGTTAGTCACTAAAATGAGAATTTTTAAAATTTGGGGATTAATTTAGGAAAATTTAAAGTTCAAGGATTTAAATAGGAGTATTTTATTATTGGATAAAAGGGTAAATATGAGATGATTATAAGGGTATTATGGTAATTTATCTTGGAAGATATTTTATCTCCCTTATTTAGGGATATAACACGTGTGAAAGAGAAAAGAACTTCAGAAGCTTGTCTTCTTTCTTTTTTCTTCTTCTTCCTCTCGTGGCTCCAGCTCCCAAAGGTACAAACAACAACAACAACAACAAAACCCAATTCCCATATGTATGGGGTAAGGGGGAGGTAGGGTAGTAGGCTACCCCCAACGCCAGGTTGAGAGTAGCTTCCGTGGAAGACCTCCGGCAGTCAGAAAATTAAAAATTTAGATAAAATGCAATGCATGTATAAATAAATACATAAATACATAGCTAAACAGTATTCATATGCAGTCATTAAAATCATATGTGCGTCTGTAACGGGAATTAATCCCTGCATAATAATCCCTGCGAAAGAATCTCTGCATATAGACAGAAACATAAGATCCGACTAAATTTAAAAGAGGAAACATGAAGAGAATGATACACAGAATCCAGCTCCCAAAGGTAAGTTGATTTAATTGGTTAATTTCTGGAATTTATGGGTTGAGTTGGAATAATTAGGTTTTATATAAGCTTAAAGAAAGCTTATATAACATTAAAACACCAAGAGGAAAGAATTAGAAAGGAAATTCTATTAAGAGTTTAGAAATGAACTTTTGTTATAGAAAGGTTTTTGAAGTTCTAAGGATGCATTTGACTTGTCAA